CAAAAAAGGAAAAAAAAGTTAGCAAAAAGTAGGTCTCGAATATGGGATCTTTAATATTCAAGCGATTCGCCTTACTCGATTAAAAAACGCTTGATTCTTTGTTGTACGCTGCTGTTGATCAAACAGTCTAACGCACGGCAAGGACGCGTGACGTAAATAGCTTCGCTTGTGGATATAACATGGACATGAACCATCTCAGAAAATAGACGTGACTTTTTGACCGATGCGGAAAATGGACGTGGCTATTTAGTTCCTAAGCCGGCCGGAAATGGACGTACGTCACTAGCGTACGGCCTAGAGAAAGCGTCGTACGGAAAACGGCAGCGTGGCCTCTCTCAGGTTTCTCTCTGGCGGTACTTTGTTATCTAGTGACTTTACTCCCCAGCTAATTTAGAGTCAATCTGTATAACGACTAGTTTATGGTCTGAAATCGTAATCGCATCTATATCAACTAGGCAATTAATGACTATTTTTTCCGCTTTTTTGTTACAAATAACCAGGTCAATGACGGATTCACCCCGTGGTCTTATACATGTTGGAACATATTTGTTCATAATTACAAGATCTAAATTATCAAGCCAGTGCTTCAGTAAGTTCCCCTTACTGTTGCCTCTTTTCCTATCCCAATCCAGGTGTCTGGAGTTAAAGTCCCCAAGAACAAAGATAGGGGAATTTCTATATTCCACTAAGAACGCGTATATATCGTCTAAAAAATCATTAAACATCGGAAGTGGCGCATTCGGAGAAAAATAGCAGCTGAGAATTACTGCATCATTCCATTTAACCGCGCAAAAACCTCTGCCCTGGTGCAATTTTGACATAGGGGAGAATTTGTCCTTGACCTTTCGCCAAAGAATGGCAGACTTGGGTGGAGTATTTAGTTCTGTCACCCACCTGTCATCCTCCGGCACCGAATGTGGCTTGCTTATCACCGCTAGAGCAGCGTCTCTTTCATCCATCAGGTGAATTAAGTTATCTTGCGCCTGTTTGGATAAATTTA